GAACAACAACCTTGGTTTGGTTTACAGTATTCACACACATGCATACACAAAGGTTTTAGGAAATATTTACAGTATTCACACACATGAAGTAACAGTTTTAAAACATTATTGGAAGTGCCAGTTTCACACATCTGTCACTAGATGCCGTGATATACAACAATTTTACACTGATCTAAAAATCAACAAACATTTTTCCCCCTGTATGCTATTGTATCTTGTTACTTCTTGCATTTTGTGTCTAAATTCATAAAATACACATCTTACCTTGTGCAAATAAAAAAAAAAGCAAATCAGACTTAAATAAGTTTTAATGTACAGTATCAAATGTCATCTTACAAGAAACAGTTTACTACAATAACAAAAATATAGAATGTGTATATTTCCTAAAACCTTTCGTGTATGCATAAGTCGAATATGACTACACAAAAGTTTCACCTGCTAACTTCCTTTCCATCATCTGTTATCTGATAGTGAAATGGCTTCACAGTAGCAATCTTATAAAATACAAGAATGGCAAAAATAGTGGAGTCAGAAACATATTATTGAAGAGATAAACAACATACTGACGAACAAGTTCAAACAGAATACCAGTGTGAAGTTGGATTTGCTATGGAAGGAAATGGGTTGCTTAGCAAACACATTTGGAACGACCATGTGTATGGTGTGTACAGATGTCCTAACCATATCCAGGTTCTGCATAAAAATGACACACATGGTGGATCCTCAGTACAGCCTGAGTTGGGTAGATACGGTCACAGAACCGCTCAAATAGTCGGGGATATGCTACATGCACTAATACAACTTTCAGCATTTATCCTATCTTTCTGAAAGCTGGGACCAAAATAGGTGAAGTTGCACCAAGAATTGTCCCACTAACAGAACCATGATGCAATATAGCCTATTTCTAAATTAAGTAGTAACAGAATAAAGGACCTGTACGACTGATATGTGGTAACGGACATAAAGAAAACTTCCCTTTTAATAGCTTCTTCACTGCATGTACCAGGCCTACTACTTTTTGAAGGTACATGCCTGACTGGAAGCTCCTGTGGTCCAAGTTCAGTTTAAAGGTACATGCCTGACTGGAAGCTCCTGTGGACCAAGTTCAGTTTAAAGGTACATGCCTGACTGGAAGCTCCTGTGGTCCAAGTTCAGTTTAAAGGTACATTCCTAACTGGAAGCTCCTGTGGACCAAGTTCAGTTTAAAGGTACATGCCTGACTGGAAGCTCCTGTGGTCCAAGTTCAGTTTAAAGGTACATGCCTGACTGGAAGCTCCTGTGGAGCAAGATCAATTTGAATGTAAATGCCTCACTGGAAGCTCCTGTGAAGTAAGTTACGTTTGAATGTACATGCCTCGCTGGAAGCTCCTGTGGATCAAGTTCAATTTGAAGGTACATGCCTCACTGGAAGCTCCTGTGGACCAAGTTCAGTTTGAAGGTACATTCCTAACTGGAAGCTCCTGTGGACCATGTTCAGTTTTTTATTTTGAGCCATTCTTACCCCTGAACAGAGTACGTATGTTTAAGACATTCTTTTAAGAGTATCCAAGAAGCTGGAATACAATTTGATCTGAAAATATCATTTTCACTTCAGATCTTTCTAGTTCTCTGTTGAATCCGTTCCTTTTCTACCATTAATGATATCTATCCAAGGTAAGTGCTTTTTTTCTCCTTGTTTCCTCACAAGAAGGTGGTAGGCATTTCTTACTAATCCTCAATCACATTCAAAATAATGCCATTTTCTTTTCAACTTGTGCTTGAAAACAAAACTGATATTGCATTTAGCAAATACCTTTACAAATACAATAATTCCCTTTCTCCCAATAAATATTTTAACTTCACAATACAACAGTCATCTGGAGAAAAAAAAAAGTCTCTATAGCAGTCACCTCAAAAGCTGGTCAGAAGTCATGTTGAACACAATCTAGTGAGATGAAGTAGATCTATTCAGACCCATAACTAGCACTACATCATGAACACAACCTGGAGAGATGAAGCAGTTCTGTTCAGACACATAACTAGCACTACATCATAAACACAACCCAGATCATAAAAACCCAGAGAGATGAAACAGTTCTATTCAGACCCATAACTAGCACTACATCATAAACACAACCCAGAGAGATGAAACAGTTCTATTCAGACCCATAACTAGCACTACATCATAAACACAACCCAGAGAGATGAAACAGTTCTATTCAGACCCATAACTAGCACTACATCGTGAACACAACCTAGAGAGATGAAACAGTTCTATTCAGACCCATAACTGCTATCAACTACCTATATTTTTGTAAGGACAAAATTATCTGTAAATCTCATTTGTAAGAATAATCAGTGGAAGAATATTGGACCATGATGTACATATTATACGTGTATGTACTTTTCAGGACTTGAGTATTTTGACTTCTTTTAAATTTAACAACCAATGTGCATTGTGCTAATATTTTCCATGATTCACAACTACACATATAATATATTACCTGTAAAAGTTCTCTCATATAGTCTGTATTTTATGTTTTAAATCTTATCTTTTAATACTGTAATGACAGTATTACTATTAACTACAGTAAAGAACTGGATTACCATAATTACTGAAGTAATTTCAGAGCGTTTATTATAAGAGTGTAAATTTCTTTCCAAAGTCTTAAAACAAGTGTATAATTGAAAAATTGTGCTTGTTTGTAGTTTTTTTCTTTTAGTGTTTACAAAAGCACTTTAGCAATAACTGAAACCTCTGTGATAAAAAAAAAGTTTCATTAGTTTGTTTATTTTGTGTTCATTTTTATCAATTTCCAGAACTTCATGTGTTGTTTCAATAATACACAAGTAAACCAGTTAGTGGACAAATATTCAGATGTACCAAATGTTTAATGATATCTGTACAAAACTAAATTTATAGATCAGTTAATTATGAAAATAACTCATTTTTTTAGTTTATTTTTTTTCTTCATTCTGTCTTTAACACCAAAAGATTCTTCTGTATCATCAGCATCGTGTTCTGTTTTTCTCCTCTTCTTGCCCTTCTTATCCTGAACTTCCTTCATTTCCTGTGAAAGATAACAAAAAATAAATACCATGTTATCAGATTGGCCAGTTTTCTTAATACAACTGTTCTTTCTCTCTGCTCTTGATGCTAAACTACAATGTACTGACTGTCTAGTACAAAGTGATACACTCAGAACGAGTGTTTATAGAAGTTTAACAGATTGCTAAAGTCTAAAAGGTAGGAAGAGAAAACATTTAAAAGTTCATACAGATATACATGATTAAGACAAGCATGCTGGCTTTAAGATCTTTATTTATAAAGTAAGACCATGTGACACATTCGCTACCAGCCAACACTTCTTGAAAGTTTTAATTACTACTTTCACAGCAACATAAAAGTTTAAAGAATTTATTCATACCATTTTGGCATATCGTTGGGCCTCTGTTACTCTCTCCATCAACACCATAACCTCTTGTTCCT